TGGAGCCGCCCATATACTCCATGACACCCACAGGGTGTCATGGAGTATATGGAGCCTGTGGGCTCCCTGTGGGTGTCAACTTGGTGACACCGTTATAAGTGTAAGCAGCGCTGTGACACCTTTAAATTACACCCGTGGGTATGCAGTTTAACACACACCCAGGCGATTATTCCCCCCAGTATCCCTATGGGTGTCAACTTGGTGACACCGTTATAAGCGTTGTGACACCTTTAAATTACACCCGTGGGTATGCAGTTTAACACACACCCAAGCGATTATTCCCCCCAGTATCCCTACGGGTGTTATCTTGGTGACACCATTATAAGTGTAAATAGGGTGTCTGAGGAGAGTCGAAACGCACCCTTGTCTGGGGTGTATGACACCACAGTACAGAAACTGGACACCCTTAGGGATAGTACAATGGTGTATCTTGACGCTCATATAAGTGTTATCTGACACCTTTCAAAAACACCCGTGGGTATGCAGTTTAACCACTTACACCGTTAGCAGTGTTTTAAATTTCTCCGTGCTCCTATCAACCAAATACAACGCAAATGTAACGTGAAATAAATGCTGGATCGATGTCGAAAATTGGTTGATCCTCAATGTTGACAATCAACCTGGATTCAACCAATTTTTAATATTGAATTAATGTTGTGTGCTACTATGTAGTAGCGTCGACGCTACTAATGCCCTCTGGTATCTGATAGTAGACATTTAAATGTCTATTTTTTCAGCTATTTTTTTCGATCAGCTATTTTTGAGTGAACGTTTCGGCGCCGTTTTTTTTTTTTGTCTGTAATGCTGCAAATATTGAGAACAATTTTTATTGTTACACAGCAATACAGCATGGCAGAAACTTACCTTCAGGTCGGAAGAGGAGACGGCAGATGACACCGCACGGCACACACTCGACACTTCCGTCGGCTCTCCGCACATCGCGAGCGGGCAGTGAATGGGACGGACGGAATGCGGCGGAGGGGGGACGCGCGCTCCCCTCTCCGCCCCAGGCGAGGATCGGGACGCCCGCCGCCGACCGTACAGTCTCAAAACGGACAGTGGTCGCTAAATTCCAGTCGGTACAGTCTCTGAAAGATCACCACAGCGCACAAATGCACACTTTATTCCCCGAATAATACAGTACAGCAACACGTCAAATTAAGATGATAATGTTATGAAAGGATTAGGGAGTTATGAAGTGAATCGATTCTTTTAGGGATCAATTCACATTCGTAATTCCCTATATATCGGGACAATGTTGACAACAACATTCGAATGTTTATGTCCCCGCCAGTTCTAATAATGAGCAGTACCGTCCTGATGAGATGAATAAATCCCGGTAGGTTGCAGATTGAGAAAAATGTCCATTGTCCAACATATCAACGCACCGGGGCGAGGCATTTCTCCCTAGGTAGGTACTCCTCAGTCCTCATACTTTACTTGACAGGTGCATCGTTAACAACTGTTCTCCACGTAGTCCGTGTGGAGCAAATGATCGCATTTGCTTGAGAGCTAAGCGAGCTCTGTAATTATGATTTATGCGAAAAACGATTAGCGGGAGTAGCCTTCCATGGGATCAGCACATTCTTGTAAGATTCTTCAATCTTACCAGAATCACATTCTCGCGAGAATCTGCCTATGCTAGATTCTTATAAGCTCTGTATGATGTTGGCCAATCTTGTACAAGCTCTGCTAGGCCTTGCAAGACTGTCTTCAAAATCTTATAAGATCATGCAAGATAGTGAAGATTCTGGTAAAATCTTGTAGACTTTTTCACATGGGTGCGTACATGGCTCCCTGTATGACTGCGTACAGGGCTCCCTGTATGACTGCGCACAGGGCTCCCTGTATGACTGCGCACAGGGCTCCCCGTATCATTGCATACAGGGCTCCCTGAAGGATTCCCTACAGGGCCCTGTAGGATTCCCTATAGGGCTCCCTATCAGATACCGTACAGGGCTCCTTGTAGGATTCAGTACAGGGTCCCCTGTTGGATGTCGTGCAGGGCACCCTGTAGGATTCCATGTACAGCCATAGTTACCTGCATGAAATCCTGTACGGCTTCTCCAGCAACCCTGCACGACCCTGTAGGGACGTACAGGATTTTGGTACAAATCCTGTAGGATTTTTTCATTAGGGCGGTGAAACATTTTATCTTTTACCTTACCTTTGACGTCATCGGTGACCCCGAGGTCAATGAAATTTGGTTTTCCATGACGAATTTGACAGGGCTATCGAACGCCGTTTGAATTTTACGGATTCGTCCAGTAGTTTCGGAGATACAGGGGGGGGGGCAAAAAAATCCCCCCACCCGCCTGCCGGGTTAACCCGGCAGGCAGCGGGCCTCCCGACCACTTTCCGCGCGGTGGGGGGGGGGGGGCATTCTTTTGTCCCCCCGCCCGTATCTCCGAAACTACTAAACGGATCCGTAAAATTCAAACGGCGTTCGATAGCCCTGTCAAAATTGTCGACAGAAACCAAACTTCATTGACCTCGGGGTCACCGATGACGATACAGGTCAGGTCAAAGATAAGATGTTTCACCGTTCTCGGGTCTTCTAGGGAATGCGCTATAATACCGACTAAAACGCATTTTGTCGAAAATCAGCGATAGGGCGTCAGTTGCCTAGCACATATGTTGCTATTAGAGGTCACTGATAATACCAGGTCAGGTCACAGGTCAGGTCACCAAGCGTCAGCATATGAACCTAACTTTACTAAGGTTGTGCGATGCATGTTTTATGGCCAATTTTTCATTTACAACTCAATGGTGGAGGTTGGGTCAAGTTCGGGTAAAAAAGTCAAATTTCAAAGTTCATGGTTTTGCATAAAATGTGTATTGATTCGATGCAGCTCATCAGGGGGAGTCTAATGGTGGTCTTTGTTTTGCGCTAGGAGGTCTAGAATTGCAAAAAAAATCAGTTTAAAAATTAGACGTCATCAATTTTGAAGTTTTTTTTTCGTTACAACTTGGCCAAAAAAAGAGATATCGATCTCAAATTTGGTATGTGGATAGAAGGCGGTAGGGACTATCACAAATACCTATACCGTTTTTTCGAAATTCAATTTTTCTATTTTCCGGCTATTATATTAAAAATCTATTTTGATTTTTAGGGGTCAAAATCCAAAAATTTCAAAAATCCGAAATAGCAGTTTTGTAGCCCTGTTAATTCTACACCTTTTATTTCTGTAACATTTTTTTGTATCTCTAAAGCTGTAGGCCTGACAGCTCTTCCTGCGAAACCTTTTTTGGGTCGAAAATGGCAGAAATGACGTCATTCTGACGTCATTTGCGGCCAACTTATCATAGCCTTTTGAAAAAAATTTGATCACAGTGTGTAAAAGCTATTCACGGGAGGGTACTGTAAGTTTGGTGACGATCGGCGCAGTGGTTCTGGAGATATATCGGAAACCCTAGAGGGGGGGGGGGCAAAAAATGCCCCCCCCCACCTCCTGGAGGGTTAAGAGGCGTGCAAGCTAGACGCCTGTGAAAATATATTCGTGCCCGGGGCCGAATATATTTCGTTTGGACGCCAGCGGAAGTCTCCACCCATTGTGATTATAAAAACCGACTTACAAACAAGGTAATTGCTGAGATCATGCCTACTAAACTTGGTCATCTATCTTACTATTTCAGGAGGGTGCGTCTGTCCGTTACCGAGGTCCCGACTTGTATTATCATGCGTTCTACTTAAGAATGATTCGAAAACTGGCATGAATTCTTTAGAGGGCCATCGATGAATTTCGCTAAAAATGACAATGTAATGGTTTGGAACATTTACATTTTTAAGAATACTGTTGCTCATCATGCAAAAATGAAGAGCGAATATTGGACAGAATTGAATGCTCTATCCAATGGTACCATATTCAATTGCCAAAGGTATCAGGTTATGCAGCAAAACCCGTGTAATTAATAAAGTGGCACATCATTGACAAACACCATTTTCTCCTGTGATTTGCACCACCTTAATTTGGATCAATCAGCTTTTCACAATTTTTATATGAGAGGCGGTACATTTCTCTTGCAAATAGGCGTTGTTTCAACTCGCTCCATTTAACGGTTACCTGAAAATAAAATTAATTCCAAAATCCGTCAAAAACCGCAATTTTTCCAATAAAAGTATCCTCACGGGTGCACGTGGCGCATGCCATCCCCTGCACCGCACACCATTCAATAGCCCGTTCGATTCTCTACACGATGCTGTTTTTCCCGTACCGATCGGGCCCACGGTTACCGAGATATTGCACGGGGATCGGACCCGTGTCGGGCAAATTTAGCCATTTTCGCCCGATTTTGCAAGCCGATTTATACATGTAAAGTCTATGACGCGAATTTGCACTTTTTGAGCACACGCCACGCGCTCCCTACCAATCTGATCGAGCCCAGACCCCTCAAAGGCACGTCGCGCATCCTTGATCTATAAGTTGGGCAAATTTCAGGGCGCTAGGTGCAACGGTCTGGCCTGTAGTCCACGCAAAGCACCACCAATTCGGGACCTCGGTAACGGACAGACGCACCCCCTTGGTCTTGGTCATACCCCCTAATTCAATATGCCCTGTGTTGGTTAGGAAACTTGTTTTCATTGTACTCAAAAACAGATTTAGATCAGAAGAAGGTCCGTGACCGAAAATTCATCACTTTTTCATGCATTAATATTATCGGATAACAACGAATACCAACGGGTAGATATCTACCTTTTTATTTTTTGTTCATTTCAAGGAGATCTGGTCATTAAAACTTGTATATTACGGACAAAAAGTAATTTTGATAAGCTTCTTGATTCTAGGCTGATATGGAAATTTCCGGCTCCTGTTTGCCAGTCCTCGCACTTCTCGTCTCCCAAAGCACCGTGTGGCTGAATGACTCTCGATGCAGCGTGTTCATTGAGTGGTCGTTATCAGCGGCAGGCTGACTGATGACTGTCTGCTGATCGTCGTGCTTGCCGCCGCGCTCCCAACACCCGCCCACCCACTGTGACACCGGCCTCTGCTTAATCACAGGCTGGTCAACTCGCTGCTCAGTGAGGAACTGAAGGACATCCACGCGTTCTCGCAGAAGACACTGACTCCTAAGCAGTGGGAGGAGCGACAGCAGCAGTAGCAGCAGCATGGCCTCGAAGCAGCGCGGCCAGCCGGTGCTGCGCGTGTCCGCTCCGGGCAAGGTGATTCTGTTCGGCGAGCACTCCGTGGTGTACAAGCGTCTGGCGGTGGCCGTCTCAGTGAGCCTGCGCACCCGGCTGAACCTGTACCAGACGGACGGCGAGGTGAGCCTCGACCTGCCCGACATCGGCCTGCAGCGCTGCTGGCGCGCCGACCAGCTGCGCGCCTGGATCGGAGGTCTGGTGCACGCCGAGTGGCACACGCCGCAGCCGGCCAGCGAGCCGCTGCGCCACGCGCTGCTCGAAGCCGTCCGGCGCCGAGAGCCCGACATCAGCGCGCAGCACGCCCTGGCGCTGGTCTCCTTCTTTTACCTGTACTGCAGTCTGTGTCCGGGCTTCCCGGGCCTGCACGTGGAGGTGCGCTCGGAGCTGCCGACCGGCGCCGGCCTGGGCAGCTCGGCCGCCTACGGGGTCAGCCTGGTGACGGCGCTGCTGTACCGATACCACCAGGTGGCCAACTCGCAGCACGAGCGGCTCACGCTGCGCACTGGCGAGCCGGTGCGGCCGGACGCGGCCACGCGGGCGCTCATCTCCGAGTGGGCGCTGGCCAGCGACAAAATCATCCACGGCAACGCCAGCGGCATCGACAACAGCGTCAGCACGCACGGCGGCGCGCTCACCTTCCGGGCCGGCGTGATCGAGCCACTACAGGACGCTCAGCTGATCCAGGTCAGCGCGGGGGGCGCCCGGGTCAGCGGGGGAACGTCCTGGTCATGAGGGTGACATTCAGGTCAATGCGAGAAGCTCAGTAGTTCTTGTATAATGTAAGATAAAACCACTAAAACCACCCAACGTATTAGGGGTAAAACGCCTTTGGGGCGACCAACGGAACGAGCGAGAGGGTGGGCCTTGCACGTGCGAAATTGCGAGAGGGTACCTCCAACTAACCTGTGCACTGCACCCTACTAACTGGTCCCTAGCGATGTGCCAAATTCGAGCGCTATCGGCCCATCCGTTCTCGAGATCTGGAAGCGGCACCCTGCACGTGCGCACGTGCAAAATGGGTGCTAACTGACGTTTGCACGGCACCCTACTACACTGTAAAAAATGATAGCACGTTTTGTGTTATATGGCCAAAAACGACTCGGTACAGCCGTATCTCATAACACGCCACCGTGTTTTCTCATACACGGTAAATCCGTGCTACATAACTCGGTATGAGTTTTGACTTTCCAAAAAGTGGTGTTCCGTAACTCGATAAAGACGTGTTACCGAGTTCGATAACTCGCCAACATGTTTCTAGCGTATCGAATAACGTGTAAAATAGCTCGCATTAAAGATGTTAAGTGCTCAATAACACCACTGGTGTTTCTGGGCTCGGATAATTATCGGCTACATAAACTTATTTGTGTTAACATATCCGGAAATTAGATGTTAGTAAACTCGCCATAAACGTGTAACGTGTTTCGTAGCTCGGTTCGTGCTCATATACTTCCCGTCCAGTACCTCCTTTTAGAATGTATATCAACGCAAAATGAGCTGCATTACACGATGCAATGATCATGTTGAATGAATATATAAATATATAATTCATGTGGACTTATTCATTGCGATGAAAGGCGTACCTCCTTTGATGCGAACGGGGTGTAACAGGCCCAGCCGCGTTTAAACAGAGGTAACGTCTTTAACCGCAATAAATCGACACGAAGTATACATTTATACAACTCATTCCACATAATAATTGAGGCGTGTAACACAGTTCGTTTTGCTTTAACCCGCGCCCAGATGGGGTCTGCCGAGCAACGCGGTCTGATGGGGGGGGGGGCCATTTTGGCCCCCCCCCCTCAGATCTCGAGAACCACGCAACATAGCGACAAGCGGTAAACGGTGTTGGATAGCCCCAACGGGGAACTACCTTGTGACCCAATTTCATTGACCTCGGTCAAACCGATGACGTCACAGGTCAGGTCAAAGGTCGAATTTTCACCGTTTACAGGCATTTCAAGAAATGCGTTGTAAAATCGAGTAAAATGCATTTCATGGAAAATCATCGATGGAGAAATGATCTTCAAACACATATTTTGCTATTTGAGGTCACTGATACCAGGTCAGGTCACAGAGGTCAGGTCACTGGGGGGGTCACAATATGAAAGTGTCGTGTGATACATGTTTTATGGTCCATTTTACATGACAAATGCGATTATGTGGGTCAGACAGACTTTAGGGCCAGCTTAGATCACGTTTTGGTCAAGGTCAGGTCAAGGTCAGGTCAAGGTCAGGTCAAGGTCAGGTCAAATTAGGTCAAATTTCAAAGTTGATATTTTTGCATAAAATGGGTATCAATTCGATGCCGCTCGTCACGGGGAGTTCAATGGTGGTCTCCGTTTTGCGCTACGAGGTCTAGAATTGCTAAAAATTGAGTTCAAAAATTTGATGTCATCAATTTTTAACAGTTTTTTCGCTATAACTTGGCCAAAAAAAGAGGTATCGATCTAAAATTTGGTATGTATATCGAAGAGCGCAGGGACTATCACATATGTTCCGGTTTTTTCGAAATTCGAAAAATTTTGGAATTGTTTTGAGTTTTTCTAAAAAAATCATTTTTTTTTGTTTTTGGGGGTCAAAATCCCAAAATTTCGAAAATCCGAGATAGCATTTTTGTAGCGCCGTCTTTTCTCTACACAACCAAATAAAGAACTTTAAAATTGCTTGTTAACTGTAGAATTGGTGAGCGTTTCAAGATGTCATGTTTTTTGCTCATTTTTACTCGAACATGACCTCAGTTTGACCTCAATAACTCCTGACCTGAGGTGACCTGTGACTTGAAATTTTGTGTGAAGGTGTCAAATTGATGCCCGGTAAGGTACCCAAAATTTGGCGGCGCTGCGCGCCGCCGTTTTCGCGCTATTTAAGAAAAACCACGGGGGGGGGGGCCAAAATGGCCCCCCCCATCAGGGCGCGGGTTAACACACATCCTCGTTAGTCAAGTTCATTAAGTCTCAGAATACAAATTTACTCATTATATATTTCAGCAGGTTGTTCACAGTAAACATGCGCTCTGAGCCTCATCAGAAGTAACGCCACGGCGGACGAGCAGTGGACAGTGGTCCTCCGCGATCAGCAACACTAGTAGTGTGAACGACACCTATGAACAACACGTCTTTGGGCCTGGCGATGGGAGAGTAGAGGTGCCGTTTCAAATGCATTGACTGGCGCAGTCTTCAGCTTGTGGAGCCGGTCGGCGCAACGATTTTTTAACGACTTTCCGAACGACTTTTGGGAGAGCTCTTGCGTCAGTACTAGCTGGGCGCTGGGGCATTGAATTTTCTCATTGAACACGGGGAACATTGCCGCACAAACTAGGAGGCGCACACTCAGAGGCGTGTTGTCTTCGGAGATGGCAGCCTCGCTCCCCTCCACCCATGACACTAGCGTTCTGGATGCAGGGGGAGCCGGGAGGACGGCGTCGCGGACCCATCATTCGCGGACACGTCGTTGTGCCTCACGAGAGGAAATTCTAAAAAGCGTCCAACCCTGGTCCGTGTCTGAAATAAGAAAGAAATATTATTGTTAATAAATGACGAAGTGCATGAATGAACAGCATAATGATACATACCTTAACCTTCGCACGGGTGGGGGGTGCGGGTGGGGGTTGGCCACACCTGCCAGTTTTTTTGCGAGTGTAAAAAACGCGGCGAGCAGCGCTGCGAAACTTGGTATAGCTTATGATACATCAATTTCGCATCGTGAGTAATATTTTTGACCCCGGGTCACATAACGTCAGGTCACAGGTCAAGTTAAGTGATTATGCCTCTAAAAACTTTGTGATTCAGTCATTTCTAAAGTAAATTCGTACATCCCAGAAGTTTGAAACTCATGCTATTGCATGCACTGGCGGATCCAGCCACCTGTCATGGGAGGGGCATTTTAGCGAAGGGTCCCAAGGTAGGGTGCCCCTAAAACTAAAAACTCCTTGGATTTAGGCCACTATTTTTTGGGATTTGCCGAAATTTATTTTTAATTAAAAATAAAAAATATATTCAAATTGAGCCTCATGCCGTTTTGGGCCCCCCCCCAAAAAAAAATCATCGGAAATATGACCGAAGTTGACATTTGTATGTACCTGGAAGGAAAATTTAACTTTTTAATTAATTGAAGTTGGTTTTAAAACGATGTCTGATGCGTAAGCATCCAATTTGGACAAGATTATGGGATTCTGAAGAAAATTTTGAAATTTCGAACCTCAAAAAACGCCAAAAATAACCTATCTGGCGGGAGGGGCATACTTACATTGAATGCCCTTCACGGGAGGGGCATTTGCCCCCAATGCCCCCCCCCCTTGGATCCGCCAGTGATTGCATGAGCTTGTCAGTATGAACAATTTGCATATCTCGGAATTTCGATTTCGGTGACCTGTCAGGTCGATTTTGCGACCTCTCCATTGACTTATATAGTCAATGTAAGAAAATTGAAATCCTCTTCTTTTGGCCGAAAACACCCTCAAACATCGGGACACAAATGAACATGACACAATGAACCGGAAAATTGCACCTGTGGCCCCTTTAATGCCTCTGAGGTCATCTCAGGTCACGAAACGTCTCAAACAGTGTCTGCAAACACCAGGAATGTGTTCAAATTAACAATACGAATCGAATGACATGCAACATGACCTTTTCCGTGACCTTGACCTGAGGTCAAATTTTTAAGTTGACATTTTTAGGTCAACTTGTAGGTTATTCGACGCGTCTCGACGTCATTTTTCTTTGACCTATGACATCACAGGACGGCAAGCAAGGTCAAATTGTACCAGTTTACAATGACAAACATTTTATTACGTAAAGTGGCTTTTATCATTTAAAAGAGACGACAAACGTTTATACCTATTCAGTCAGGAAGAGAGGGTAAGTATCGTAGACATTACTCTAGACTACTTTCAGTACCTAACAAGTGCTGAAAAAATAGGACGTCACAAGAACAGTGGCTTTTTTTTAGTCTTTCAAATAACTATACACATTACTGGCAGTTTTAAAGATACCTATTTTGTTGATTTTTTAGGATGTGTAAAGCCGATAAGGAATAAGGAGATATCCGACATATGCTCCGTTTTTTACTTCTCTAAATTAAAAAAAAACCTGAAGGAGTTTTGGGTGTAGAAATATCAAGATCTTGATATTTCTATTTTGGAAATTTTGTGGTAGCAGTTCCCTTTGCCATGCATTTTGTACCTACTGTGCGAATTTTTAGTCTCTAGAATGATCATTTATTTTTGTGATTTTTTCCGTGAACCACTTTTTTACTTTTTCGACGGAAAATGGCCGAACATGACCTCAGTTTGACCTCCATAACTCATGACCCGAGGTGACCTAGGACCCATTTTTCAGGAGTTTAGTGAAATTGATGTCCGGAGAAGTACTAGAATCTGGAGTTAAAAATCGCGGCCGTTTTTGAGTTATCAGCGTAAAACAACAGGGGTGCCTCCCCCTTCCCCAACGGGTCGCGGGTTAAGCTCGCACCCATTACTGAAGTGACTGTCCCTTGACCTCTAAATGGCCATTCCCTGTCATTATACTCTTACACGAAAGGCCAACGTACTAAACTAACATATACTTGGGGATTCGGTAAGTTCACTATCGACTCTACACCTTTTTAACCTCAAATTAAAATTAGTAAACTTTAAATTAAAATAAGTCAACTTCAAATTAAAATAGATCAATTTCAAATTAAAACTGTCAACTTCAAATTAAAATAGGTCAACTTCATATTAAAAAAGTAAATTTCATATTAAAACATTGCTACACTATGTAGTTATGTTCTTTGAAGCGAATATAATGCAAACCCATACACAGTGACATATGTATGTATTGGTGCAGCTCACAGTGGCTGCATACACACCATACACGGTGACAAATTGGTGCAGCAAATCTGTCCACTGGCGGATCCAAGGGGGGCATTTGGGGCAAATGCCCCCCCCCCTGCAGTCCCCGAAATTGACGAAAATTTTCGTTTTTTTTCGAGAAAAAAACGGAAACTAAACACCTTTTAATAAGAAAAGTTTGTTTTAAACTGCACAGCAGTGCGCAGGGAATTAAAATCCGGTGAGTTTTTGGAATTTGGAGAAACTTTTTGGGGCATGCCCCCCCCCCCGCGGCGTCCAAGACCGCCTTTCTGGATCAGCCAATGAATCTGTCACTGTGTATGGTTTTACACAATATATGCGCTTCAAAGAACATAACTATTAGTGTAGCAATGTTTTAAAACGAACTTGACTGATTTTAATATGAAGTTGACTTATTTTAATTTGAAGTTGACAGTTTTAATTTGAAGTTGATCTATTTTAATTTGAAGTTGACCTATTTTAATTTGAAGTTGACTTATTTTAATTTGAGGTTAAAAAGGTGTGTAGGTACCCATTAGCCGTTTTCACGACGGGCTTCCCGGCGAATGCACCTAATTTGACCAAATCTGCACCTGATCTCTTTTAGAGCCAATATCTTCATTTTATAAATTAATTAGAGCGGTTTAATCGTTGATAATGTCTGATAAGTTGACAAAGCAGACATCTACGCACTTAGTGCAACCCTAGCTGATAGCAACTAAGAATCACACTGAACCTTATTTGACCAAAGCTGCACCTAATCTACACCAAATGTGCACCAAAAGTGTACCAGATGGCCGTCGTGAAAACGGCTATTATAGACCTATCGTCCAACATCAACCCAATAATAGCCAATGCACATCAAAATACAGACGGCTGAGCTAAGAGCTTCGGCGTCCGGATCCGTCCGTCGGAGGAGGCCGTCAGCGGTCGCCATGGCAACGGCCTCGCTTGGACAGCGGGACAGCTGACCACGGGAGCGGGACGAGAGAGGGAGGGAGAGCGCAGGGGTAGAGAGCGCCCGGGCGCCCGGGCTCTCGTCGGGTTTCGGTTACGCTTTTGATGATAATAAATACGTTAAACATGTGATTTCAATTTTCATATCGGCTTCAAATTATAGAAGGCAAAACCCCAGTCTACTAAACTACAACCGAGTCCCATGCAGACACTAATTGTGATATGTGAAATAATAAATCGGCAGAAATAGCCTAGAACAATACCTTTTTATCCTGTTAGCAGTTGAGCCGCATTCATCAAGGAATGAAGTCCTGCCTCACAGGCCTTGAGCTCTGACTGGGACTTCGAGATTGACCTTCATTCTGCTCATCTTGAGCCGTATCTGAAGTAAATAAATTATGTCAGTTCGCAGCCAAACAGATGTCTACCTACTTGTTTTCCACAGACAAAAAGAAAAGCGGAGGGAGGCACAATGGGAGAGAGAGGGAGAAAGGGGGAGGAAGCGAGCGAAAGATTAGGTGAGAGAGAGAGAGGGGAAGAGAGAAACCAGGCAGACTAATCATAACTAGCTGGTAGATACATACTCATAGCCAAAGTTGAAAAGGTACAGTCCAAATTATTCATGTACCTATAGCATTTTTATAAACGCACACATAGTCACCAGTGGTGGAGTGGCAGAATGAGAATCAGGGCCGAGGGCTCCTCCTTTCCATCCATAACGCCACACTGCACGGATAATATTTATGCAACCACGCCTAAAAGACATTTAATATCACTGATGTTATTTCTAAGAATAATTTGGAGCAAGTATCGCTTGTACTTACCAACAAGACGTCAGACGCAGCACAGACACGAGCTCCCTGGATCGCACGAAGATGGCGACTGAGGCCCACGCGGCGCTGCATTTGGCGCGAAACTGAACCGAGTAAGTTAACAACCCACAGTGGTAATATCTCTCAAGATCGCGGCTCAAATAACCTCATTCTGCTTTTTAAACTCGACGCAGAGGGGTAAAACACGCCAACGTGTCATTCAACACGGTATAACCGTGCGCAAAGATGCTTCCACAAAATCGTATTCGTGTTTCGGAACACAGTGTCCGCCAAATGCAGGTATGAATACATGGCGATTACTCGAAAGGTGTCATTGTACATGGGGATTCCGAGCTAAGTTCATCCTGATTTGGATCAACCGTGTTTTGCTTCGCAATAAGGTTTAAATTACTCGATAAATACGGATTCATTAGCAAGGTAGCTTGTTTGAACACATCATTAAAGTGAGTCAGAAAACTCAAACTGTGCTAACATTTTTTACAGTGTAGCCGGTCCTTAACCATGCACCAAATTTCAGCGCAATCGGTCCAGCCGTTCTCGAGATCTGGAATCGACCCCTGAACGTGCGCGCGCACGTGAACCAGCACCATAACTGTGGCACATGGATATGCATTATGCATTGCCTATTGAGTGCCTACCCACATGCCAACTTTCAGCGCGATCGGCTCAGTAGTTACCGAGATATTGCGATTGCTACAAAACGGACACCTGGGGCATTCCACAACAGATCAACAAAAAAAAAAAAAAACGCGAAATAACACCCTACCTCTCCAATTTTAATGAAATTTCGGCTATGGGGTTATCTAGCCCGGCGATTCGTGTTGTAACATTTTAAATCACATCCGTCGAATACTTGGGGAGATATTGCCCCAGTGACTAGCATAAAAACTATAAATTTCATCCGCAGATATTAACCCGCGCGCCCGCTGGGCTCTGCCGAGCAACGCGCCCTGTTGGGGGGGGGGGGCATTTTGGCCCCCCCCCCTAAGATCTAGAGAACCACGCAACCTAGCGACAAGCGGCAAACGGTGTTGGATAGCCCTTGTCAGGGAACTACCTTGTGACCCAATTTTATTGACCTAGGTCAAACCGATGACGTCACAGGTCAGGTCAAAGGTCCAATTTTCACAGGCATTTCAAGAAATGCGTTGTAAAATCGAGTAAAATGCATTTCATTTAAAATCATCGATAGGGAAATGTTCTTCAAACACATATTTTGCTATTTGAGGTCACTGATACCAGGACAGGTCACAGAGGTCAGGTCACAGAGGTCAGGTCACGGGGGGGCACAATATGAAAGTGTCGTGTGATACATGTTTTATGGTCCATTTTACATGACAAATGCGATTATGTGCGTCAGGCAGCCTTTGGGGCCAGCTTAGGTCACGTTTTGGTCAAGGTCAGGTCAAGGTCAGGTCAAATTAGGTCAAATTTCAAAGTTAATATTTTTGCATAAAATGGGTATCGAATTGATGCAGCTTGTCACGGGGAGTTCAATGGTGGTCTTTGTTTTGCCGTACGTGGTCTAGAATCGCTAAAAATTGAGCTCAAAAAATTGACGTAATCATTTTTGAACAGTTTTTTCGCTATAACTTGGCCAAAAAACGAGATATCGATCTGAAACTTGGTATGTTTATAGAAGAGCGCAGGGACTATCACATATATTCCGTTTTTTCGAAATTCGGAAAAATTTTGTATTTTTTTTTAGTTTTTCTTAAAAAAATCAATTTTTTGAATTTTTTGGGGTCAAAAACCCAAAATTTTGAAAATCCGAGGTAACAGTTTTGTAGCGCCGCTTTTTGTCTACTAGACCATATAAAGAACTTTGAAATTGCTTGATAACTGTAGATTTGGTGAGTGTTTCAAGATTGCATGTTTTTTGCTCACTTTTGCTCGAACATGACCTCAGTTTGACCTCAATAACTCCTGACCTAAGGTGACCTAAGACTTGAAATTTGGTGTGAAGGTGTCAAATTGATGCCCGGGAAGGTACTGAAAATTTGGCGGCGCTGCGCGCCGCCGTTTTCTTGCTATTCAGGAAAAACCACAGGGGGGGGGGGGCAAAATGCCCCCCCCCCCAACGGGGCGAGGGTTAAGCTAAATACTCATTAGATTCATATAAAACTGCATATCCCCATAATTGATATTAAACAAAGATTTTTGTGATATCAATTACTCGAGGGCAGCGCTTTTTGAGGAGCGCTGTGGCCCGAAGGTTTGGACTTTGAATTGTGAAAAACGCCCGCCCGCCGCAAAACGTAAACGCCGCAAAACGCACGCCCGAAACGCCAACGCAAACGTCGCAAACAGAAACAACAAACAAACGCACGCCTGCCGCAAACCGCAAAAAACGCAAAAACAGCGCAAAAAACCGCCAGCGTCGCACGCCCGCTAACCGCCAACTGAAAACGCCCAAAAATCGCCCGAACGCCGCCAAAGGCAAACACCGCAAAAAAGAAAAAGCGGCCGCCAGCCGCAAACAAGTTTAACACCTCAAACGACGCAAAAAAACCGCCCGCATCGCCCGCTCACCCGCCGCCAAACACAAACACCGCAAAAAAAACACAAAACGTACATGCAAGGCAGCACACATCAGTGTTCGGCTCTAAATTAGCTTTCTTGACAGACATTGAACAATGCCCGAAAGTGAAACGAAAGTTAAGCGAAATCATTGAATAATCGCAGTCGGTTGTGTGAGTGTGAGTGCCAGGCTTTTATTTCCAATTTTCATAAACTATTTCGAGGGTTTAGGGTAGGAGAATGATTGGTTTCGGAACGTGTCACCAAATGTTCCCTTTTACCCTAAACATTGCCTTAAATAAAAGAAATATATGTAAAAAGTTAAAGGCAAAACTCCTCTTCAAATTTCTTTTCATTAAATTTCCATATCCAGAGGCACCTTTAGGCATAATCGTTTTGTCAAAAATTGAATGGCCACATTTTGAAAATCAGAAATCAAAAAATAATTTATTTAAAAAATGTTGAGATTTTGAAAATTTTCCAAATATTTTTATTGATGCATTTTCTGCAGTCAATGAGGATTCTAGTGAAATACATATTAATGTAAGTTACTGGCCATGTTTTTATATAATATGAGTCAAAAAGATGGTTGCTCTGAGCATTTTGAAAAATGCCACTGGCTATAAATCGTAAACCATTTTAAGAAAGGAAAGTAAGTACCTATAACGCTGAAAATAGGAGATTAACCCTCGCCCGTATTGGTGTTTTTCCAGCCGCGAACGTATAAGGGGGGGTCCGTTGGACCCCCCCCCTTCCCGTTTCGCCCCTGATCGAGCTAGAGCTTCGCGGAAAAAACGAGCGTGTTGCCCGTGACGAGAGGAAGCCGATGATACCCAATTTTAAGGTCCTAGGTCATTGGCTGACCTTGCAGGTCAGGTCAATGACCCAAAAGTCGGGAAAATCGGGACGTGTTAGAACGTCGTAAAGTGTGGCTGCTATTGGTTTTTTCGGGGTGCTGATCACGAATATCATGTTAGTTTTGATCACAGATGATGTCTTCATGCATTTAGGCCAGGTCGGGTCAGGTCAGGTCAGGTCAACCAGTAAGGGTATTCGTAGTAGGTGGCAACCGCCTCTGACAGTTTCGTAACATGTTACGAAGGCACCAAAACTACTTCGTAAATGTTCATATGGTTGCTAAATTCGAATTCAGCTCCAAAAACTGGCCTAGAAACATGTAAAACTCGAAAAAGTGAACCGAGGTCATCAAAGGTCAATGACCTGACCTGACCTTCAGGTGACCTTGACACCCACCCTAATGCATGGGGGCAACATCATATCACATGTTTGAACGCTTGAAACCACGAAAAGACTGCAAACGCGCGGCTAATGCGAGCCGACATACGCCGAATCGCGATTCCGGCCAAACATGGTCTCGAAAAGTAGGTCACAGGTCAAAGGTCATTTGGGTCAGGGTCATGAAATTTTCAGGATAGGTGTAAAATTGATGAACGCGAGGGTACTGAAAGTTTCGTCGCGATCGGCCGCTTTTTACGCGAGTTATTCGCGAAAAACCATGGGGGGGTCCGTTCGACCCCCCCCCCCCCTATACGGGCGAGGGTTAAGAATCTATGGTACAGATAACCCCCTAGACGCAATTTCATCAAAATCTGAGAAGTAGGGTGTTATGGCTTGGTCGATCTGTCATGGAACCTCTTCGTTTTGCACGTGGCACGTGCATAAGGGGTCACCCACATGCATCGGGAATAGTCCAATACTTGGTAGAAGGAATGAAGGTACCCTACAAAATTACCGGATGTAAATCGGTCAAGTGGTTGCTGAGATGAACCTCGCAAAAGCGTCCGCACGGCCGGCCGGCCGCTCATACTCAGAAATTTCCGTTAATCTACGAAAGACTCCGCTCGCTTCGCTCGCTCCGTAATTACGCTAAGACTTCGCTCGCTCCGTATTTTTTTTTTTTTTCAAGGGTGATATCACCCTTGGAAAATCTAATAATACGAAACGTTTTTTTTGTATTTTATTATAGGTATACGAATTACTTTGTAACACAAAAGAAACTTAGCGAATTTCCGTACCGTTTCAATGTACTGATGACTCAGTTTATTTAGTGAATGATATGTAATGCTTCGTGCGAATAATTTGGCCTGTGACATATGCTGTGAGTTATGATTTGACCTGTGGCCGTTACCGCCGTGCCGTGTGCGCTGAGCTGACCGGTGCCCTCTGACCGTTACGGCCGCGGACGCAGGTGCTGCTGGTGGACACGCGTGTTCCGCGTAACACGCGCGCCATGGTGGCCCACGTGCACGAGCAGCTGGCTGACGACCGGTTCTCTGCGGCGCTGGAGCCGGTGCTCGACTCGATGCAGGCGGTCTCGGAGTCGGCGCTGGCGGCGCTGGCGGACGGCGACCAGCCGGCGCTGGCGCGCCTGGTGGGCCTGAACCAGGCGCTGCTGGCCGCCCTTGGCGTGTCGCACCCGGCGCTGGACGCCGTCTGCCTGGCGGCGGCGCGCCGCGGCCTGCCCGCCAAACTGACGGGCGCCGGCGGCGGCGGCTTCGCGCTGGTGATGCTGCCTGCCGGGACACCGGAGCACGCCGCCGCCGCCGTCCGCGACGACCTCGACCGGGTGAGCACACGCAGACACGCAGACACACGCGGCGCGGCCAGAGCGACACACAGAGCGCGAGCCGCGGAACTCTATCGGCCACCAGATGGTGTCCAATGGGCGCCGCGCCATGGTGCGCAGACCAGAAAGCAATGGTTGCGTCCGACCGCCATAGTGCTGGCGCGTGACTCGCTGTTAGGTTGAGGCATTTATGAGCGAAACAAGACAAATTTTGAATGAGGATTGCTGCTGGGATGTATCTCAGGGGTCGTGGCCATCTGCTAAAGGTAGCTATTTGGAGCTGTGGTGCCTGCAATTGTTATAATCAAAGATTGAAAATTAAGGACGATGAATGTGGTGTGAGCTCTATGAAACTGAAGTTAGGCATGCGCCACTGGAAGTCAGTGGCGGTCGCCAGGGGGCCATGATGACCATGCTCCCTCCTCCCAAGGCATATCAGGGGGGGGGGCATCATAACATTTTGCTCCCGAACAACTGATGGGCCCCCATCATGGTTGTGTGGAGCCCTGGTTCTTGTTCGATTATGACAATGCTAAAAACCCACATCGGCTTTTACGGCCCCCATACAGGTTTTTGAGGGCCCCAACACTGACCTCTTAGGGTCCACACTGGCCTGTAAGTGCCTACACTGGATTCTGAGGGCCCACGTCGACCTCTTGAGGGCCCCACACTGTCTTATGAGGGCCATGCACTCTGAGGGCCCCAATCGGTGTCTGATAGCCCCGAGCTGGCCTCTGAGGGCCCCATGCTGGCGTCTGAGGGCTAACATCGTCCTCTGAGGGCCTATGTACATCAACCTAGATATTAGACCTAGATATAAGTCTCCATACTGGCCTTCAAGGACCCTCCGCTGGCTTCTGGGTTGGTCCAACAGCGGGCTCGGAGCGCCCCATTTCGGCCTCTGGTGCTCATGACTGACGCCTGGGTATCTCATACCGTATCCTTATTGATGTAGGCCCCATGCCAGATGCCAAGAGCCTCACCTTTGTCGTGGCGGCCCCACACAGGTCGTTTGGGCTCGTACCGGTCTTTAAGAGCCCCATACTGACCTAAAGGCCCTACCCTGGCCCTCATGACTCAAGGGTCTCCATTCGTAATGTCATACAGTCCGGCTTGTAGGGGAAGTTGGGGGAACGCCGAATACTTTTTTTCTGACGCCCGTAGCACGCAAGGTAGACAACATAAGCTATTCTTGTTGGCGTCATTCGAGAGGCCAGTCTTTTGCCTTTCAAACATACCAGGCGCATTTGATGAATTCGCATACCGTTAAGCGCACAAACTAAAAATATCAAAGAAGTGACTTTTTGGCGTTGCCCCGGACTGCGGGGAAAGCCGAAAATGGGAGAAATGATCTACGGGAATGCCGAAATTGATGTTTTGCTATTTTATCTCAAATTTTATCCAGAATTCGTCAAAGCTGACACGCGTTTTAAGAGCTTGAGGACGCTTGGTGCACACTGGAAGTTATAATTGTGTGATATAATAAGAAAAGGCCAGGTAAATCATTCCTTATGGTAACAGGCCGTTGTGTCGGTTAAAAGTGTAATTTGTGTGACTAAAAATACGCGTTGCTATTCTACAGCGGTAAAGTTCACGTAGCGTGCTTTAACGCGCGTAATTGCACGTTTTCGGCATTACCCCAGCTAGCCATACTTTCATTTGCAGGCCCATAACTTTTCAACGTGCTGTATAAATTTCAAATAGGCAGCACACTTATGCAAAGACGTGCTGAAGATTACTTGACCGAATTGGCCAGACAAACGGTAGCATAATGAGTAGGAAATGCAGCTTCGAAGACGCATGTAGTACAAAGGAAACGTACCTTGAAAACGCTCTTGGCGCCCTCACTGCCGAAGTATTCCGAATGACGACTGGTAACAAACATGCGATAATTGGTAGTCACTTAAGCTTCAGAGCATCACTGACAGGTGGCATCCATGTCGTACGGTTTTCGAAATATCTCGAATTTCGGCTTTGCCCCAACTCCGGCATTGCCCCAACTTCCCCTAAGGTCCGATCCCTAGTGTTCGCGTTTAGATCCTGACGTGACGTCATACCATAGTTTCGTGCAACTTCGGAGGGCGTAGATAGAGGCGATGCTTGGCTTTTCGAAAATGACAAATTCGTGTGTGCTGCAACACTGCATACATTTTTTTTTGAAAATGCAAGTGGCCAATGTTGTATGCTGGTATGGCAACTTTGGCCCAGCAGAAATATTCATTAAGAATTTATGGTTTCCGCCTTTTTTGCTCACTTTTGCCAGGCGTATGACAACATTAGCTACCTTAGTGAGTTTTCAAAAAAAAACATATCACCCAAAAAACCGCGTATTTAAACCACAAGGCCAAATTTCCAACACTACCTTGACCTGTACACAAAAGAGCATTCTGGCAGAATCCGAGCACAAAACCCTAAAAACGCACTGGCACTGGCATCAGTATCTGCCACTCGGTACTCAGTGCTGTCAGTACCTATGTTAGTATTGCTTCTCAAATCGGGACCCGACAGGCATGGACCTCGAGACGGGGCTTATTTCGTTTTGCGACCAAAGGAAGGCGCTACACGGTTAATGCTCCAGGCCGCGGCCAGCGCTTTCTTTTGGTTGCTGAAACGAAACACGCTGTCCACCTATTTTATTATTTTAAAGAAAGGAGTTACCAAGGCGTTGGAAAGGAGTTGGTGATCAAAGCTGCACGAAACTACGGCATATGAAGTCGCCAAGGCTTTTTCACGTTTTAACATTATTTTTTAGATTGCCAAGTGTGCCTAAAAAGGTTCTCTCACATGGCGAAAGTGGCAAAGAACCGCACCTGGGCGTGGGTAATTATGCTACCACTGGGGCCCCTAAGGCATGGGTGGGGCCCATTCAGAAGGTTTGGCTTTCCCCTTTTCAAGATCTTGGATACATCACTGAGTGATAACATCAGTTACTTATAGCTGAGAACTTGTGAGGATCCCATCGTGTTTTCCGCTTAATTCTGCTTAACATGGCGGGCTCCGTATCTACGCATCTAAACGTAGCGGATGTGGCGGCCGGTTTCTGGTCTGCGCAATATGGCCGCCATCTTTGAACGCCACGGCCAAGACGATGGGTGGGAAATCCTTTGTGGGGAAATACTCGCATGCAAAAGGGGAGGGCTTAGGGAACAGAAGGGGGACAGAAGGGGGACGGGCAGAGGGGCACAGAGAGGGGGACAGAAGGGGGACGGGCAGAGGGCACCGGGGGACTACTGGCGGCCCGGCGGCGATGGCGCAATCTATGTCCAGTGCCGTGGTGGTGCATCTTTTTATTCTGTGCCGCAATGCACGTATCTGTATTCTGTCCCGTGCTGCATTATGTGTCCTATGCCGTACTGTTTTCTGTGCTCTGTTCTGTACTCCGAGTCCTGTGCTGTGTCTGTGCCCTGTGCTCTGTTCTGCGTCCTCTGCCAAACAATACTCCTGAGCTGTGTTGTGTGTCTTGTGCCGTACTGTTTTCTGTGTCCCTTGCCCTGTTCTATTTCGTGTCTTGTGTCCTTTTGTATTCTGTCTCCTGTGCCGTGCCAATTGCTAATTTGCTATATTCTGTATCCTCTACCGTTTTGTGTTGTGTGTCGTTTGTCATGCTGTATTGTGTGTCCCGTCCTGTGCTCCGTTCCTTTCGGTGCGCTGTTCCGTGCTGGAGCTCCGCGGCGCCGGCAGCCGTGTGACCGACCGGCCCACACGGAAGTGACGCCCGCCTTGGTGGCCCTGGGTCACGATATCGGCGTCCGGCCGCGTCCCGGCGCTACTGAGAGCACTGCTTGGCGCGGGGAGGGGACGACAGATCACCGTCCCCCCCCCCCTCCCTGCAGCGGCGGCACTGGTCACGCCACGGCCCGCGGTACAGGCAGAGCACGCCGGCCTTTGTGTCGTGCTGTTCTATGTGTTTCTCTGTCCTCTGTGTCGTGCTGTTCTCTGTGTTTCTCTGTCCTGTGTGTCGTTCTGTTCTCTGTGTTTCTCTGTCCTCTGTGTCGCTCTGTTTTCTGTGTTTCTCTGTCATCTGTGCCGTTCTGTTCTCTGTGTTTCTCTGTCCTCTGTGCCGTTCTGTTCTCTGTGTTTCTCTGTCCTCTGTGTCGTGCTGTTCTCTGTGTTTCTCTGCCCTCTGTGCCGTTCTCTGTGTTTCTCTGTCCTCCGTGCCGTTCTCTGTGTTTCTCTGTCCTCTGTGTCGTGTTGTTCTCTGCGTTTCTCTGTCCTGTGTGCCGTTCTGTTCTCTGTGTTTCTCTGTCCTGTGTGTCGTTCTGTTCTCTGTGTTTCTCTGTCCTCTGTGTCGCTCTGTTTTCTGTGTTTCTCTGTCCTCTGTGCCGTTCTGTTCTCTGTGTTTCTCTGTCCTCTGTGCCGTTCTGTTCTGTGTTTCTCTGTCCTTTGTGTCGTGCTGTTCTCTGTGTTTCTCTGTCCTCTGTGCCGTTCTCTGTGTTTCTCTGTCCTCTGTGTCGTGCTGTTCTCTGTGTTTCTCTGTCCTGTGTGTCGTTCTGTTCTCTGTGTTTCTCTGTCCTTTGTGTCGTGCTGTTCTCTGTGTTTCTCTGTCCTCTGTGCCGTTCTCTGTGTTTCTCTGTCCTCTGTGTCGTGTTGTTCTCTGTGTTTCTCTGTCCTGTGTGCCGTTCTGTTCTCTGTGTTTCTCTGTTCTCCGTGTCGTGCTGTTCTCTGTGTTTCTCTGTCCTGTGTGCCGTTCTGTCCTCTGTGTTTCTCTGTCCTCTGTGTCGTGCTGTTCTCCGTGCTTCTCTGTCCTCTGTGTCGTGCTGTTCTCTGTGTTTCTCTGTCCTTTGTGTCGTGCTGTTCTCCGTGTTTCTCTGTCCTGTGTGCCGTTCTGTTCTCTGTGTTTCTCTGTTCTCCGTGTCGTGCTGTTCTCTGTGTTTCTCTGTCCTGTGTGCCGTTCTGTTCTCTATGTTTCTCTGTTCTCCGTGTCGTGCTGTTCTCTGTGTTTCTCTGTCTTGTGTGCCGTTCTGTTCTCTGTGTTTCTCTGTTCTCCGTGTCGTGCTGTTCTCTGTGTTTCTCTGTCCTGTGTGCCGTTCTGTTCTCTGTGTTTCTCTGTTCTCCGTGTCGTGCTGTTCTCTGTGTTTCTCTGTCCTGTGTGCCGTTCTGTTCTCTGTGTTTCTCTGTCCTCTGTGTCGTGCTGTTCTCTGTGTTTCTCTGTCCTGTGTGCCGTTCTGTTCTCTGTGTTTCTCTGTTCTCTGTATTTCTCTGTCCTTTGTGTCGTGCTGTTCTGTGTTTCTCTGTCCTTTGTGTCGTGCTGTTCTCTGTGTTTCTCTGTCCTCTGTGCCGTTCTCTGTGTTTCTCTGTCCTCTGTGTCGTGTTGTTCTCTGTGTTTCTCTGTCCTGTGTGCCGTTCTGTTCTGTGTTTCTCTGTTCTCCGTGTCGTGCTGTTCTCTGTGTTTCTCTGTCCTGTGTGCCGTTCTGTTCTCTGTGTTTCTCTGTCCTCTGTGCTGTTCTGTTCTCTGTGTTTCTCTGTCCTTTGTGTCGTGCTGTTCTGTGTTTCTCTGTCCTTTGTGTCGTGCTGTTCTCTGTGTTTCTCTGTCCTCTGTGCCGTTCTCTGTGTTTCTCTGTCCTCTGTGTCGTGTTGTTCTCTGTGTTTCTCTGTCCTGTGTGCCGTTCTGTCCTCTGTGTTTCTCTGTCCTCTGTGTCGTGCTGTTCTCCGTGCTTCTCTGTCCTCTGTGTCGTGCTGTTCTCTGTGTTTCTCTGTCCTTTGTGTCGTGCTGTTCTCCGTGTTTCTCTGTCCTGTGTGCCGTTCTGTTCTCTGTGTTTCTCTGTTCTCCGTGTCGTGCTGTTCTCTGTGTTTCTCTGTCCTGTGTGCCGTTCTGTTCTCTATGTTTCTCTGTTCTCCGTGTCGTGCTGTTCTCTGTGTTTCTCTGTCTTGTGTGCCGTTCTGTTCTCTGTGTTTCTCTGTTCTCTGTGTTTCTCTGTCCTCTGTGCCGTTCTCTGTGTTTCTCTGTCCTCTGTGTCGTGTTGTTCTCTGTGTTTCTCTGTCCTGTGTGCCGTTCTGTTCTGTGTTTCTCTGTTCTCCGTGTCGTGCTGTTCTCTGTGTTTCTCTGTCCTGTGTGCCGTTCTGTTCTCTGTGTTTCTCTGTCCTCTGTGCTGTTCTGTTCTCTGTGTTTCTCTGTCCTGTGTGCCGTTCTGTTCTCTGTGTTTCTCTGTCCTCTGTGTCGTGCTGTTCTCTGTGTTTCTCTGTCCTCTGTGCCGTTCTCTGTGTTTCTCTGTCCTCTGTGTCGTGTTGTTCTCTGTGTTTCTCTGTCCTGTGTGCCGTTCTGTTCTGTGTTTCTCTGTTCTCCGTGTCGTGCTGTTCTCTGTGTTTCTCTGTCCTGTGTGCCGTTCTGTTCTCTGTGTTTCTCTGTCCTCTGTGCTGTTCTGTTCTCTGTGTTTCTCTGTCCTTTGTGTCGTGCTGTTCTGTGTTTCTCTGTCCTTTGTGTCGTGCTGTTCTCTGTGTTTCTCTGTCCTCTGTGCCGTTCTCTGTGTTTCTCTGTCCTCTGTGTCGTGTTGTTCTCTGTGTTTCTCTGTCCTGTGTGCCGTTCTGTTCTGTGTTTCTCTGTCCTCTGTGCCGTTCTGTTCTCTGTGTTTCTCTGTCCTTTGTGTCGTGCTGTTCTCTGTGTTTCTCTGTCCTTTGTGTCGTGCTATTCTCTGTGTTTCTCTGTCCTCTGTGTCGTGCTGTTCTCTGTGTTTCTCTGTCCTGTGTGCCGTTCTGTTCTCTGTGTTTCTCTGTTCTCCGTGTCGTGCTGTTCTCTGTGTTTCTCTGTCTTGTGTGCCGTTCTGTTCTCTGTGTTTCTCTGTTCTCCGTGTCGTGCTGTTCTCTGTGTTTCTCTGTCCTGTGTGCCGTTCTGTTCTCTGTGTTTCTCTGTTCTCCGTGTCGTGCTGTTCTCTGTGTTTCTCTGTCCTGTGTGCCGTTCTGTTCTCTGTGTTTCTCTGTCCTCTGTGTCGTGCTGTTCTCTGTGTTTCTCTGTCCTGTGTGCCGTTCTGTTCTCTGTGTTTCTCTGTCCTCTGTGCCGTTCTGTTCTCTGTGTTTCTCTGTCCTTTGTGTCGTGCTGTTTTGTGTTTCTCTGTCCTTTGTGTCGTGCTGTTCTCTGTGTTTCTCTGTCCTCTGTGCCGTTCTCTGTGTTTCTCTGTCCTCTGTGTCGTGTTGTTCTCTGTGTTTCTCTGTCCTGTGTGCCGTTCTGTTCTGTGTTTCTCTGTTCTCCGTGTCGTGCTGTTCTCTGTGTTTCTCTGTCCTGTGTGCCGTTCTGTTCTCTGTGTTTCTCTGTCCTCTGTGCTGTTCTGTTCTCTGTGTTTCTCTGTCCTTTGTGTCGTGCTGTTCTGTGTTTCTCTGTCCTTTGTGTCGTGCTGTTCTCTGTGTTTCTCTGTCCTCTGTGCCGTTCTCTGTGTTTCTCTGTCCTCTGTGTCGTGTTGTTCTCTGTGTTTCTCTGTCCTGTGTGCCGTTCTGTTCTGTGTTTCTCTGTCCTCTGTGCCGTTCTGTTCTCTGTGTTTCTCTGTCCTTTGTGTCGTGCTGTTCTCTGTGTTTCTCTGTCCTTTGTGTCGTGCTATTCTCTGTGTTTCTCTGTCCTCTGTGTCGTGCTGTTCTCTGTGTTTCTCTGTCCTCTGTGCCGTTCTCTGTGTTTCTCTGTTCTCCGTGTCGTGCTGTTCTCTGTGTTTCTCTGTCCTGTGTGCCGTTCTGTTCTCTGTGTTTCTCTGTTCTCCGTGTCGTGCTGTTCTCTGTGTTTCTCTGTCCTGTGTGCCGTTCTGTTCTCTGTGTTTCTCTGTCCTCTGTGTCGTGCTGTTCTCTGTGTTTCTCTGTCCTGTGTGCCGTTCTGTTCTCTGTGTTTCTCTGTCCTGTGTGTCGCTCTGTTCTCCGTGGCGTGCCATATCGTGCAGAGACGGTTACAATTGTACCGGTAGCGTGAACAATTGTGCCGATACCCACCGGGTAGCGGTAGCGGTGTTCTCCGGGCAGCGGTAGCGGTGTTCTCCGGGTAGCTGTGCCGGTGCCGGTGTCTGCCGGTGCCCACCTACGGACAGTAGCGCGGCGCGGCGCGCGGAGTTGGAGTGCGTCTGAGCGCGTCTGTCCGGTCTGATGGGGCGCTGGTCTGTGGTGGGGTGGGGTGTGACGGCCGCGGGCCGGCCGTCCTCTCTCTCTGACCCCGTCTCTCGGCCGCCCGCAGCTCGGTTACGGCGTGTACGACGTCCAGGTGGCCGGGGAAGGTGTGCTCGTGCAGAACCTGGCCGTCTGACCGGCCGACACCCAACACATCTCGCCCAGATTTCTACGGCACCGTATTTATTCCAGTCCGGTCACCGGGCGGCCAGACTCGTCTTGCCTGCCGCCGGTCGCTGACGCTTTCACTGCTGTTGATAATAATGATTATAATACAATGACATCTGATAGTGTGTTTGTGTGTGTGGCTGTTTCCGATGTGTGAAATATCCTCCAACTAGAGAGCATGCCGTACCAGTAACTAAGCCATCGCACAAACCAAGCGCAATGCATGTTAATTTTTTCCTCACACGCTGTTCTCTGCAGTCCCTATCCAGGTATGCCCTCACCGGTATTTAAAGGTAGTGTGCCACCTTCCAATGATTTCCCATTTTATTTTTCCTACGATAAGAAGCTTCTGTTTTTACCTAATATCGCAAAAAAAAATCAAAAATGGGCCTGGAATAGTGACTTTTTTGCCTAAAAGTTTATCGGTTTTTCGATATGTATAACAACCGAGCGGGCTGACCTGCAAACAGGCGTCGGCAACAATCGCGAATGCGGCGCACATGTGACAATAAGCAAAGGTCATTATAGAGTTAGGTACGACGTACGGGAATGAGAACTCAGCTGTCTAATCGTAGACAACACAATGTCGAATTTAGACTGTAAGCCTGTATTGGTATTGTTTCTTTAATTTGGCTGTCGAACATTAATTTATGGTTTGAAATATGATTTTATGTAAAATAATTGATATGAAACAGCCGTCTCTTAAGTTATGACCCCATTTCACCACACGCAAGTGGCAGAAATGACAATGATCAGCTGACGCATTTTTCTTGGCCGAAGTCAGAGCGCGCGGCCCGACGCACCACGCGTGTTTGGAAATTCCGACCTCGACGAGCATCAGAAGCCACCTAACAGGCGTGTTCGAAACCGCAGGAGATGATGATGAACGGGTTTATCGAAACTTGATTGGATGAGACTATCGGTAATAGCGATTTCAGTGTGTGCATTTATTGTTCATAGTGGTGTGAAATGTGGTTGGGGTACGACCGACAACCCGTCGGGGCGAATTTCGCACTGGGGTACTCAAAATTTGAAGAATTTAAGACGTTTCCATGAGTTTTGAAGGTATGGATAAGTTCTAAAAATCCGGTTCTCCTTATCCGGGTCATAAACTCCATATGGTCCAAGAAAGCTGGCACACTACCTTTAAGGTCGTGCACTTCCAAAGAAGATTGTTCACACGGCGCTAACAAGCGGTAGTCATGCTGGTTTGAACGATAGGTACCGATCAATATACCATCAGCATACTCACTAGACGCAAAATATACTTTTGCTCTTTTCTTTGCCTTTATTTCAGTTGGGCGCTGGCTGTAGCTGCGTGTTTTAGCCAGTAACGCAGTTCCCATTCACCGGGCAGGCCCTCGTTCTACAGCGTAATGTGCACTCCCGCCCAGAGGTTCTGCTATCGATCTATTAGAGATCGCTACACATAGACACGCTATTTTACGCGGCGATTAGACCCTGATTTACTCAACTTCCCACCCAGTTTAAAAACAGAACATACAGATTTGACGAAATGCAACGGTCTGTCGTACTACCGTGCTGAATGGCGATTTCAAATTCAATGATGTAATATTTCCAACTGAATGTTATGGAAGTATGGTGCGCAATTGTTTGCAACAGTAGCGAATTGCGAGTCTTTGTCTTATAACTTATCTGCAAGTGATAGAAACATAGCTCCGGGGCTAAAACATAGCCCTGGGGCTATTGTCTGCTTTGTCAAAATGTATTGAGAGTACCTACCTGGAATTCCACGATAACACTATCAAAACAATTACATTAATGGTGTACTGGTTTCGTCTGTAGAGGTCGTCAGCGTCATGTATGGAAAACAAGGCATTATTTTTCATACCTATCTTGGCGCTGACGAACTGTGCAGACGAAACTGGTACGCCTATATGTAACTGTACTGTTTTGATAGTGCTATGGTGGAATTTCATACTCTCTCAATACAATGATTGTCCATATTATAGTTACATTTGTCAAGATGAATTCCTACCTACCATGCAGTGGACGAGGGCTGGGCGTACGGCACTCCAGGTAGTTATTTAGTGGTTGATCGCCAACATCACAAAAAGCGATCTGCATTGATGAATACGTCTAATGGCTATTGAAAACCATTGCCGAAGTGTGTGCACGAACCCTCTTCTCATTTTTATTGACTCATTTTACAGGAGTGTCTCTGTCATTCAAAGTTATTACACCAAAAGCACATAGGCTAACCAACCACTCTTTTGCTGGAGGGCCGTACATACATTCTGCTACGGCTAAGGCCACGCCTGACTCGGCTTAAACAGCGATACTAGCGCCCCCGAGTCCGACCAGCGACCGGCCATGGGAGCCTAGCACCCAGTGGCGGCGCCTCGCGCGCCACTACCAGCGATACTAGCGCCCCCGACCAGCGGCAGCGGTACCCAACGGCGGGCCACTACCACCCTGACTAGCGGAGTTAGCACCCAGTGGCAGCGTCACTACCAGCGACACTAGCGGAGTTAGCACCCAGTGGCAGCGCCACTACCAGCGACACTAGCGGAGTTAGCACCCAGTGGCAGCGCCACTACCAGCGACACTAGCGGAGTTAGCACCCAGTGGCATACCAGCGATACTAGCGGAGTTAGCACCCAGTGGCAGCGCCACTACCAGCGCCACTAGCGGAGTTAGCACCCAGTGGCAGCGCCACTACCAGCGATACTAGCGCCCCCGATCAGCGCACAGTAGGCGATCTAGCGCTTCAGGATCCCAGGATACCAAATTGAAAAATATAGCCGAACGATAGTTTAGTGTGTAGCCAGATATCCTGGCAGCGATACTATTTTTGACATTATGCAAGGCACTTCCAAACCATACCCATCTGATCGCTACCCAAGTTCGTAGGCTGAAATATCCGTCCTTGGCCCGTGACCCGACCCTTGTTGTTGCGCAGGGGCGTCGCCACGGGTTTTTGAGTGTGTGTGTGTGGGGGGGGGGGGGGGGTCGGGTTTCCGGTCTTCGTCTTGATGTGAAGGGGTGATTTTAGCCACACTCCCGTTTTTTCGTGTGTTGAGATAACCCTCGGCGCGCAGCGCCACGAAAGCAGCGGTAGGTATATCTTATTATACATCACTTTTGCATCGTGCATAACAATCAAGCACAGGTCACCTGAGGTTAGGTCAAAAGGTCATTTCAAGCTCAGTTTTAATGCCTCAAAAACTGCAATCCCAGTAAACATGCCGACGTCGGCCGACGTCGGGGTGACGTCGGCAACTCGGCATTGGCATGCCGACGTCGGCCCGACGTCGGTCCAACCTCGGCACGACGTCGGCTGGATGTCGGATATGCCCGCATGTACCGACGTCCAGCCGAGGTCCAGCCGACGTCGGGCCGACGTCGGGGCGACGTTGGACCGACATCGGCCGCTGTTTTGACCGTTAAAATAATATAAAATACATGTTTCATGTTTCATAAAGAGCTTCTGTATTCAAAATATCCTCAGGAAACTCAAATCTTCCTCCACGCCGCAACCCCCTGATCCGGACTGGACGGGAAACTTTATCCCATTTGTGATTGCCCGTAAGCCGAGCTCGCCCGTAGCCGGGTGCGGTGAGTGCTTGGGGGCTGCTCGGCCTATCCTTTGGTCAGGCTCAGCCCCGGCAACTCACCAGGGCCGGGCCCAGTTCATATAGAAAGGCCAGTCGGCAAGTGTCACTTTGCCAAAGTGCCACTTATCAAAGGGACACTTTGGGAAACGTTGGTGCAGGTGTGTAAGAGTGGCTATATGAATCCATTGTGGGGTCGCCCTTTCCAATAAGTGTCACGTAACAGCAATGGGACCAGGGACTCTATATGAACTGGACCCAGGGTGCTCGCCAAGAAGACCAATGTCTCCATCCTATCATCCTTCCGGCGCTGAAATGGTCTTGTCAGACCGAAAGGGCATAACCCAACAAAACAAACTAAATACTCTAACTGGCTGCGTGGTGTAGTGGTTAGCACACTAACCTCGCGTTCAAATGACACGGGGTTCGAATCCCATCGCCGGCTGATGCTTTTGGCGTGTTGTCCCAAAACATGCCGACGTCGGCGACTGGGGGGCTCGAATCCCGCCGCCGGTTGATATTTTTGGCGCGTTGTCCCAATAAACAGGCCGACGTCGGCCCCGTCGGTCCAACGACAAACGATCTCGTCAACCTCGGCAAACGACCTCGGCCCGACGTCGGCTCGACGTCGGCTGGACTTCGGCTGGACGTCGGAACATGCGGGCATATCCGACGTCCAGCCGATGTCGGGCCGAGTTTGAACCGACGTTGGGCCGACGTCGGGCCGAGCCTCGGCCCGACGTCGGGCCGACGTCAGCATGTTTACTGGGATCCTGTCATTCCCATACATTATCTCCTATAAGTCTTAAATTTGGTGTAATGAATGGGATTATAAGTGCCAACAGGTCATGAATCTGGGATTTTACATCTGAGAAGTGAAGTCAGGTCAAATATGTGACCTCACCAATCATCATGATAAGATAAGGGAAAAAAGCAAGAATGCGCTGTGCTTTGAACGAGTATGCTAAAAACGCTACTTTTGTAGCCATGGCACCTCTCCTCATTTTAGGAACAAGGGCCCAATCTTATAAAATGCCGTACTATTCTATTTACGGCAGTTGGTAACATTGACAGTGATAGCAGCTTGCAGACAAACGGTAATCCGAGTCGACAAAATGATTCTTTGGACTGTCAACATACGATGGACTGAAATGCGTCAAAACCATCTTGCATTTAATAGCCGTGTTCTGCACCTTAACTTCAGCCAGTGCTGCCATATCCATTCCACGGCGTGTATAAGATTGAGCCCTAATGTAGGGGAGAGAGGTCATATTGCGCCATGTTCTTAAATGCGCCACACCTTCCTCCTGTCCAAAATTCGATTCGAATGAATGCTCGAATGTGTGCATTTACCTACTTTACCACCAATAACTCGCTCTAATTCCGGTCCACGGGGGCAGGTGAGGTGTCTCAGCTTTCTCACAGACCATTTTTTTGTGATTTCCTCTATTTTCTTACGCGAAACAGTCTATTTCGACCTTTGCTAGTGCCATGGTTTATGTTAGAGATAGTGATTCAACTAATAATCATTGTTAATTGTTCGTTTA